AAAGAGAATGAAAGGTAGGAAATTAAAAACAAAGCTACTGTTTAACTGGAAAAAAAAACAAGTAAATGAGGATTAATTTAGGGATGGTGAATATATCACACAAATTAATTACACCTGTTTATTATTATATGGTGTAACTTCTGTAAAACATTAAACATCACAGAAAAACCTGCCAATGTCAATCTGAGTCTTATCCAACAGTATCTTTTCTTCAGATGAACACTGGCTGCTTTCTGTTGGCAGCTTTCTTCAGCTTGTCTTCAAGCAGTTTCAACTCTCTCTGTCTGAGTGGGAGCGGAGGTGGGCATTAATCATGCTGTCATCACAGTCCGACCAGGCCTCTCATGGCCGCTGCAGAATATGGACCTTTCATCACAGAAGTAGTGTAAATGTACAGTATCATGTTCAGTCAAGATTGTATGTGTTTAATGACACTTGGTATGTGACAACTTTCACATCATCACATGACTTGACTGATATGTCCATCCTACTATTAACGGTTTTTTCTTTTTGCACCATTCACTCTCACAGTTACATGTGATTATGAGTGGACCTATAAGTGGGAAAGCTTATTAATGCTGTCTTTCCAACAGATGGCTTCAAACATCTGTAAACTAGCATTTAGCTTAAATTTAGATTTGTGAAAAACCTCAGATGCACATGTGAACACTCACCCTGGCTGTCCCTTGAATTTTCTATACACCATAGCTATGCAAAATTTAGAAAATAAAAATAGAAAGCAGAAATATGAGGCTGGAAAAGACATTCTGGCATTTTTAGAAAAATATAAGTGTCATTGTATGACTGAGAGAAAAGGGAGGGAAAATGAGAAAACATGAAATTGAGCATGGGTCTTTTTAAAAGTGTGGCGAATAAAGAGCTGTATGTGGAAAGCAGAGTATAACTCAGGTGACATGTACAACAGTGAAAGACAGTATGCATGGCCTGGGAGCACACTGGGCCACGAGATGGCAGCTAGAACTCAGTGGAGGAGGGAAAGGGAGAGAGGAATATATTGAGACATAATGGATGCTGGTGCTGAGGGAGGCAGGGTGAGGAGGGCAGGGGTGGAGAGGTGTAGCTGCAAGAATTACCCCTGCATGATACTGAAACCCAACACTTAGCTCCTCTCCTGTAAAATGTCTATGTGGACACCCCTGATGGAGACTGTGGTGCGGCGTGTCAGGAACCATACAGCTCCACAGCCGGTCACACCTGGCAGGCTCTGTCCTAACCTGTAAACCTAGCACATTGGCTATGAATCCATAATCATCAGCTATGCCGTATGTACATTTACAAGTCATATATCCACTGAAATGCCAGCTGGAGGTAGTGCTAGCTGCAAATCAGGCCTGAAATCACAGCTCCAGCAGGTACAATAAATAAATAGATCAGATTACTGGAACATTGTTATTTGGAATGTCCATGTATGTACCAAAGAAGTAAAAGGTCACTGCATCCGTTAGAAATTACACTGTGTTCTAGAATGAAAAACTATATTTACTTAGAACAATATTTAATTAATTTGTCACAAAATTTTGAGGTAATTTATACATCAACACAAGCTTTAGAGTTTCTTAGTTTCAGCAGTAAGGATGACTTGCTGTTTTTGTCAAACTTAATTGGTACAAAACTTGGAAAATCCTGTCAGGTAATTCAATAAAGCCTTAGGGTTTTCAAAGACACATTTATCATTTTAAACCACTCCTTTATGCTAACATTACACACACACACACACACACACACACACACGCACACACACACACACACACACACACACACAAAACTCCCTCAGTACACAGTGAATGAGAGTTTCAAATATACTTCACAAGATGCAACTCAGTGCCTGGACGGCAAACTGATGAGTAATGCTGCATTCGAGCGCTGTCAACAGAACGGGAAGAACAGAAAAACATATTTTGACTTGAGAGTGTTTGCACACTGTTGTAAGACTGAATTAGCAATTTTATAATGTTAGGTATTTGGAGCTGTTTGTTAATAAAGAGAAACTAGGTTCAAATATTAATGTATGGCATATTTTTAATGAGCTGGACTGACTATATAGGTAAAAATATTTAATATTATTTAGCTGTGACAGGCAGATATTGGCTTTGCTTCTGTAGCTGTTTTCACCAAATGGAAAATACTGTTGTTGTCAGTAACTGAAATTACAATTAGGAGGCCGACAGGAACAATTTCTCCAACTCAGTTTTTTGTGATAAACCAGGCATAAGCACTGGTTATTTCCATTAGCCATCTTTACTTGTGTTGTGATTATTTGAGGATTTGAGGATCTTCGGTACCTCTGTCAGTTCCACTTAACAGCTGTTAGTGTTTGGTGTATCCTGGAAAATATATGGGAAATGACAAATTATAATTTGTTAGCTAGATATTTTCGCAACTTTATTAGTCAGTTTAGCAGTTTTACTTTTACTATCTCGTTGTAAGACTAAACAGCAGTCAGCTTTCAGAGGCTAGACCAGAGGTTTGTTACTTGATCAACCACAAAATAATAACACTATGTGAAGAAAGTCACCTGAACTGGGACAAGTTAGCATGTCCATCATTAGTGGCCAAACAAATGTATGCAAATTTCAGTGCTCCACAAATATGGTATAGCGCCTCTTAAAAGGCAGATCCTGTATGGAATAGAAGTGTTTCTGTGTGGGAGTTCAAATGAATGTGTTTTTAACAGTAAAGGCAACGTGACAATTTCAACACCTCGGTAATTACTTCTACACAAGGAGAAGTTGAGCCAGACTCCACTTTTGGGTGTGTTTGTTTTGGCACTCTGCTGATGCTGGGTGCAGGTATCACACCTTATTAATGACTGACTCCTCTGTCCAAAAGGAACTTCGTGTTGTCCTTGGCTGAACACTGAGTGCTCCGTGCTATCTCACTCTCTCTCACACACTGGCAGGCACATGAACGTGCACACTGAAACACACAGGCACACACTAACCCAACAAACTTGTAAATACTATTTGTGGATTCTCTTGCTGTCTTGGGTTTGGCCTACACAGGCAGATGCACAAATCCAAAAATACATGAATACAAATAGTTTCAGTTTATCCACACATTTGCAAACACATACACATGCACACAAATCAATTCAAATGCACAAACTATTTATAAGTTTTGTCAACATCATAAACACTGAAATGATATTTATGGGTTTGGGCTTTATTTCTTTTCATCTCTCTCTCTCTCTTTCTCTCTCTCTCTCACACACACACACACACACACACACACACACACACACACACATAAGCACAGCCAAAAAAACTATGTTACTCTTGGGTTTGGTTGACACAGACCATATTTGTGCGAGCATCTCTACCCTCTTGGCTTGCTGATCCTTAACCAAGTGAACTTGAGGTCTTCGGTTTTAAATGGAGTCAGCTCCTGAGGGGACGCCATGGGAGGTTCTCAAGACAACTTTATAACACTTCATCTTCTATGTCTTCACTGTATGTTTTTGTCTCATCTCCCACGCATCTTGTGCCAAGTCTTTCAGTCGGACCTCCATGTTCAATACAGAAAAACAAGGCGCAAAGAGAGCATGTCACAGTTTATTTGGATCCTAATGACAGCACAGACTGGCTGGGGTTATGAGAAACACTCATAAGATATTGAGCTCCTTCTGTATGTTAGTGTCAAGAAGATAGATGGTCCCATTATGCTGCATCATTGTGTCCATGTGTGGGTGAACGAAACAGTGTGCCAGAGCGGCACAGTCTGTGATATGTTCAGGGAAATCATTCTTGCATTCGATGGCACTCTGAAAATATTAGACCCTTCTTATAATTGTTTTGAATGGTGGGCAAGCCTGTAATAGTTGGTCAAGCGTCTTGAGATTGTATGACAATGGTGTTGAAAAGCTGAGGTTCAGGCCGGGATTTCAGAAGGGTTATTGATGGGAATTTGACACAGGAGAGGAGGCTGAGGTTGGACTTGGATCTCTCTTGTTGGCCCTCATTGTTTGTACAGTAGATAGTTTACAGCTACGACAGCAGTTCCCAACTAAAGATAAATGGCAAATCTCAAGGTTGG